TCATGAAGAAAAGCGGGGAAGAACTCTTCCTCTTCACGGTAAAGCTATATCAACATATTTCTCCCCCTCTACTTGGACACCATATTCCTAACCAACATGAGCATCAATGGGAAAAGCAGGCTGGTGGTAAACTTAAGGGGAGAGGTTTGCTTCCAAGGACAGCTGGAATGTCTAATCAGGGTAAGTCTTGCTTCTAAGCAACATACCCGCCTCACCTAAAGTTGCTAATCTGCATGAGAAGCTTTGGCAAAAATTCAAATATCCACTATAGAGAAATACCAGTGGTTGGTAGAAGCAGTGCTTATTCTCTGCTGGATTTCTCTAACCTTTCTGAAATAAGAGTATGTCTGATGAGTAAGAGTGATGCCCCCTGTAACCGAGCATTGGAAAGGTGCTTCTATTGTCTATGATAGACCCTTTCCCCAACCACTTGGCACCTCTCTGTCCTGTCCAGTGGTATCTGCACACCATCCTGATATCCCCTTCACTCTGAGCCTCTTAAAGAGGAGACCCACCTTCCACCTTGCATAGGCCAGCATAGCACTGGAGCTTTATCTCTGATTTCCCAGTGAATTTGATTTTCAGGACAGGATTTGGTCTGGGATAAGAACAAAGTTTCTATCATCAAGTATGGCTTTCACACCCTGGGTTCTTCAGTGATGAAAACTGATTTAAAAAAAAACTTGTAAAATATGACCTCAAAAAAGCTAATGTGCTTTAGCAAGGAAAACATGTGGATAATTGATCGGACTTTGCAAGCATTAATTAAAGCCCTTTTTGTCACTGTAAAGCCACTAGCTTTAATTAAATTCCAAGAGCCTTTTTGTACTAGAGATCCAGGCTATGCTGTATGAAACGATGATGTCCCAGAGAGAAGAGCCATCCATCTAGGATGCCATAGAATTAGAGGTGACCACCTAGATCCTTGGTCCTCATAGCCTCATTACTCCCAGATGAGTCTGTCATCAGAGCTGGGGGGCCTCTTCAGACACAGGGGATCCCCATGTTGCCAGTCTTGACTTGGGCAGAGAAGGTGAGATGCCAGTCCACTCCTGAAACAATGTTCTCCTGTACTTCTGTGTGTACCAATACATTACCTCACTTCCTGATTTTCCCATTTGGAATCCCACCATTCATCTTTTTCTCCCTACAATATTGGTTCTAACCACATAATCTCTTCTGATCATCATGGTAAAGTTAGTGCTGCAAGAGCCTGTGTCCTGAAACCTTAACAGATACGGGACTATTCTGGTATGTATACAGTGAAGTTAATTCCATGTATCGCTGTTCCACACCAAGAACATTTTACCTATTATCTGTTACCTAAAGGATCTCCTCACTTTGAACTTGACATCAGGTTCTAATAGGCAAGGATATTTTAGTAACAGCCTCTTCTGACCTATGTTTCAAGGTTTCTGCTAGGTTAATACATGCCTTCTGGCATGTCCTTAGTTTAGATTTACCAGTTCATATTGGGTTATCAATTCACTTGTTTGGATCTCCTCCTTTAATCCCTGTATTTTTAGGAGTATCTGGCCACACACATGTTCTACACTAAACCAACTGATTTGACATATAGCCTATGATCTCAAAGAGATGTTTTGGGCTAAAAAGGGGTAGAAAAATAAATGAATGCTTTTATTCCTTTTACTCAATTTTTCTAGAAAACCAAAGTGGTATTTTATGTTTTTAAAAGTCGAGGCTCAATGTATCCAAAGGATACAGGAGTGCTGATTCACAGGGGCACATGTACCCCAATGTTTATAGCAGCACTTCCAACAACAGCCAAATTATGGAAAGAGCCCAAATGTCCATTAACTGATGGGTGGATAAGCGAGATGTAGTCTATATATACAGTAGAATACTATTTGACCATGAGAAAGAATGAAATCCTGCTATTTGCAACAATGTGGAAGGAACTGGAGGGTATTGTGCTAAGTGAAGTCAGTCAGTCAGAGGAAGATCTCCTATGTTCTCACCTGTATGTGGAACTTGAGAAACTTTACAGAAGACTGTGAGGGGAAAGAAGGGGAAAAATAGTTACAAACAGGAGGGAGGCAAACCATAAGCGACTCTTAAATACAGAGAACAAACTAAGGGTTGACGGGGAGGATGGGGTGAGGAGAAAATGGGTGATGGGCATTGGAGAGAGCACTTGTTGGCATGAGCCCTGGGTATTGTGTATAAGTGATGAATCACAGGAATCTTCCCCCAAAACCAAGAGCACACTGTACACACTGTATGTTAGCCAACTTGACAATAAGTTATATTTTTTTTAGAAAGCTGAAGCTCAGAAATGTACCTAAGCAAAAGATAACTTATATAACCAAGTAGAAATCCATTCATGTACCCAGCCTATATTAACATTCAAAGTACTCCAGGCTTCGGAATCACATCTCTCAGCTTTATGAAGGACTTAGCAATAGAGTGGTGCTTTTTAGTGTGTTTTGCATACTCTTAAGAGTATATATAACCTAGAATCCATTCAATTTAAGTATGTCAAAGAGTTTCCAACACAGTATTTCATAATTTATGGTAGCTACCGGCACTATAAGGTATCCTTAATCACTATTTTAGTATTTAAGGCTTTGCAGTGATCTTAGTAATTTGAGAATGTGTAAATGTTTTTTGAGAAAAATACAAACTATACTTTTCTCTATTTTGGAATAATTGAATTTTGAAGACTAAAACAAAAAGCTTGGCTTCAGAACCACAGATAATTCATATTGCTCTTTTCAAACTTCTTCCATTGCTTTTCCTATCACTCAGAATAAAAACATCCACCATGTCCTACAAGACCCTACACTATCTAGTCCCCAAACCTGCAGCCTCAACTCTGCTCTCCCCCTGGCTTATTTCTTTTTAGCCACAAAGGTCTAGCTTGCTGTTTCTCAATAACTCTAGCTTCCTCTGACTTCAGTCTTTACACTTGCTGTTCTCTTTGCCTGCACACTTCACCTAGTTATTTGCACAAAGCTCCCTCCCTCCCTTCACGTCTCTGCTTAAATGGACCCTCCTCAGAAAACACACTGTCTAGAAGAGCCCTTGTTGACCCTTCATTATTCCCTAGGCTTTTAAACCCTGCCTTTTTTTTTTTTTTTTTTTTTCCTCACAGCGTTACCACTTCCTGAAGGCATTATGTATCCATGGTTCTCAATCAGGAATGATGTTCCTCCCCAGAGAACATTTGGCAATGTCTGGACACCTTTTTGATCATCACAATGGGGAGAGTGTTACTGGCATCTAGTGGGTAGAGGCCAGAGGTGCTGCTATACATCCTACAGCGCAGAGGACAGTCCCTGCAATAAAATATCTGGCCCAAAATGTCAATAGGACTGAGATTGAGAAACTTTTTTTTTGATGTTTATTTTTGAGAAACTGAACGTGAGCAGGGGAGGGGCAGAGAGAGAGGGAGACACTGAATCTGAAACCAGCTCCAGACTCCGAGCTGTCAGCACAGAACCCAAAGTGGGGCTCACACTCGCAAACTGCAAAGTCACGACCTGAGGTGAAGTCTGATGCTTAACCGACTGAGCCACCCAGGCGCTCTGAGAAACTCTTTTATATAAATCATTTGTCTATCCAGGATTAGTATAAATTCCATGGGACGTTGTGTCTGTCTTGCTCAGTTATTCCCAAAGCCTAGCTTTTAATGCATATTTATTTAAACAGGGTTCAGATCCACGCTTCTTTCCAAAATACTATATCAAATATGTGTATGGTCTTCTTTACTGTTGTCTCCAGTGACTACCTTTGACCTTCTTAGATTCTCCACAAATCCTGGATCAGGACGGGAATACTAGCACTCACACTTTGAAGATCTTCTTCTTTAAGAATTTATACTCTCTGATCTACATTAATCTAGAATACATAACTATTCTTTTAAACTTCTACTAGGAATTCTCAGAACCTTAATATAATGATGTTAATCATGTCTTTAAACCACAGTGGTGTTGGATCTATCACTTTCACGGTGTTGCTTGGCAAGCTTTATATATGAGAGAATATATTGCTTAGTCATTTTAGACTTATAGCTCTATTTTGAATTATCTAGATTTCATTACATAACTGTCTCTTTTTCTCCTATCCTTTAGGTCAGTGACCCAGTTGCAGCTAATTTGGTCTAAATACCCAGATGTTCCTTTTCTCCAGAAAAAAAAGCTCTGGATATCTGATGGGTCCATGGGTTTTGAGGAAGAAACTGATGTGATCTTTTCTGAAGATGAAGGACCTTCTGTATCTAAGGTACAACTTAGAGTTATGTTCATAGTTAGTATACATAAGTCCACAGTCTCTACCCTGGTGGTAGCAAATAAACTGCCTTTGTAACCATGTGACCTCATTCTCTTTCCCAACTTAAGACAAACATGTTAATCATGTTCTCCCTGTCCTGCTGAAACCCACAAATCTCCAAGTGGCTGCTACTAATTATCAGAATTTTCATAAGCAATGAAACCTGGTACTGTTTATGATTTAAAATCCCACAGAAGCTGCTTGTGTGAATGTGCTACCATTGGTCAAGAATCCTACATTTTATCCTCTGTTAAAAAAAAAAAAAAAAAAACTTACTATGAACTTAGGCACAAGGATATCACTTTCAGTAATTTTAAAAATTCCTCATTTCTTCAGAATAAGCAATCTATTTTAAAAAATAAAACTTAGAGTAATGCTATCTTCTATCTCAATAACTTTTATAGTATTTCAGCCTTATTAGGAAGTTCTTGGAGAACCTTATATTCATCATCTGATGTATTGGCTGCTCTTGACAAAATCTGGAAAATGTCTCCTCTAGGTCTTTATGACTTTTTTCCATTCTTCAACACTTGCAACCACTAGTTTTGCATCTAAAAAAAAGAAAATCTAAATACCAAACTCATGAACACACTCGAGCACACAACTCTCATCTGATCTGACTTTTCCCCCTGTGGTCACCATGACATCAGACTGGCATATTTTCTTTCGGTTTCATTGATCTAGCATCATGTAAAGGTGATGTAAAGTTCACGTAAAGGTCATGTAAAGTTCACTGCAACATCGAGAAGATGCTCCCATGCACAGAAACAGAAGAATGTGTTCCCAACATTCCAGGAAATAATATGGCTGCGTGGCTGACTTACCCTCCCTCCTCTACAGGTTCAATATCCTGGTATGTGATTCTTGTATATTTATTAACATCCACTCTATGGTCCATAATATACTATCTTAGGGAAAAGGGGAATGACCAGGAATATTCTTGCTGTGAGTGCACATAGCTGGCCAAATAGATACTATTAGCCCAGTTTCATGAGCTTTATTTATTGGTGATTCTTGAAATGAAAAATTTACACTTTATTCAGAAAGAAACTTATGGACTTTTGAATACTAGTGGTTAAAAGCTGATACAAATGGTCTCCTGTCATCTTCTAATATAAAGCCCACCCAGAGAGCCAAGTTAGAAAACTTAGCCATGTGGATTTTGATACTCAGCCACAAGCCACAAGGAAGCACTTCCTCTAGAGGAATGGCCAGGATCTGACGGTTTCAGCCAGTCCTCTGCTGCCCTCTTTCAGGTACGTATGTCCAGCAACTCCCAACTTAACAGTAGCCTCCGACTTCCCTGCCCCATCACTGCTCATACTTTGTAAACTCCCTAAAGTAGATTTTTGTTTGCTTCAAAAGTGACAACTGGGAGATAGTGACCTATCCACACAATTCCCACTGTCCAATCAAGAGAGCATACAAACAGCATTTGGAAAGAGGAGTTTGGAATATCGTCAGCCCATATTCTGCTTTGCTGGGGGCAAAACATTGAAACAGTGGAAGAGCCAATTCTGAGTTCCTAACCTGATCTCAGGATAAAAACAGAAAAATTAATATCTGACATATTGCCCTGAACCATTCTAAGTAAGCTGTCCTCAAGCTAGTTCCCAGGTGACAAGGCTCATGAGCAAATGGGTGTGGAAGTTATAAGTATGGATACTCAAAGCAGCACCATGTCTGTTGTAGAGGGTACATTTTGTCTCTTATTACTGTTTAAGACACTTTTATATTAACATCAAGATAACATGGTTTTTTTTTTTTTTTTTAGATTAATAGACTTCCCTTCTGCTGAGACCTATGCCTCTGATGTGAAATATCACCCAGCTGTAAGCAACTTTAACAGTAATCAGACCGTAACTCTGTTATTAAGTTATGGTGACTCCTCAGAAGTCCAAACTGTCTGATGAAGCTTGAAGAACCGTCTCTGACAAGTTGAGCTTGACTGAATCTGGGAAGCATCAGCATGGGAACCTGCTTTTCTGACTTCAACCCAGATTAACCATTTAAAAGTAAATCCTAAAAGAATATATACAGCAAATACGATGGGAATGATTGTTGTTGTTGTTAAAAACTGTCCTTCCTGTGAAAGAGAGGACCCAGTCATCCAAAATCATGGTCAGCAGGGCTCGTTCTTTGACCATCAAACCACTGCCCTGGATTCACTATCAGTGAGGTTGCTGAGGTGTCATTCATTGAATTACCAACATGCTTAGTATTATTTCTTTTAGTCTTATTTGCAAGTTTGAATAAGACCAAGCAAATCAGTCATAAGTTCAATAATTCCATTTAAAGAAAAGGGAAACAATAACCAATGGGTATATTGAGATGTACTAAAGCAGGATGCCTGAAGCTGAAGGGTGTAAGATGTAAATTTCAGGGTCCCACCCACAGATATTTCAATTCAGTAGATTAGAGTATAATCTGAGGATCTGTATTTTTAATAGGCTCCCAGCTGCCACCCACTGCTGCAGGTCTTCAGACCCTATACAGTGGGGTAAAGCTCCACTCTCTAATATATTTGGGGTGTAATGACTTAAATGCTAGTATATTGAAACTCACAAGAGGGGCACCTGGTAAAACTATCTGGATCTCCAAAATTTAAGATAAAAGCCTTTCTATAGAAATGAATGATTTTCCTCACCTAAACAAAAAACAAAACCCACATTACCTTGATGTCCTGTTAAATAAAGGTATCTGCTAGGGGCGCCTGGGTGGCTTAGTCGGTTAAGCGTCCGACTTTCGCTTAGGTCATGATCTCGTGGTTCGTGGGTTCGAGCCCCGCGTCGGGCTCTGTGCTGACTGCCAGCTCAGAGCCTGGAGCCTGTTTCAGAGTCTGTGACTCCCTCTCTCTCTGACCCTCCCCTGCTCATGCTGTCTCTCTCTCTCTCCTAGAAACGAATAAAACATTAAAAAAAAATAATAAAATAAATAAATAAAGGTAGCTGCTAAACAGTTATTGAGGTTCATTTTACTTTGCTTTGGCAAAAAGTGTTTAAAGCAGTGGCTTTTCAAAATTTTCTGTGAATATGTATCACCTTTGAAGAGATTATTAAAATGCAGTCTAAATTCAGCCTGTCTGCCCTGAGGTTTTAGATTCTACATTTCTAATAAGCTCCTAGGCTCTGAAACCTTTACCTATTACTGTTAAGTCTAAAGATTACTGTGGTATCAGTTTTCAAAATACATCAGACTCAGGTTGATACTTTTTTTTTTCAGGTGAAACTTGCAATGCCGAGTGATGCCTGAGACTTAAGCGGAAAAGTTGTTTCAGGAAGAGAGGTGTACATGAGGACATCAGAATGCTACCCTAGCTGATTCTGCAACAAATTTTACCAGTGCTCAGTGAGTGACCATCTAATCTTAGGAATTCTAAAACTTGACTGCCACAAATCTAAGTGTGGGGCCTATACACCAGTATTTTGGATCCAGATACAGCAGCCTGATCTCATTTTATTGCACTTTGCAGATATTGTGGGGTTTTTTGTTTTTACTTTTTTATAAATTGAAGGTTTGTATTTAAACTTCATTATAATTGTTACGGTGACCTGGGATCTTTGATGTTACTGTAATTGTTTGGGGCGCCATGAACCATGACCACGTAAGAGGGCAAAATTAATGGATAAATGTTATGTATGTTCAGACTACTCCCTAACTGGCTGTTCCCCATCTCTCTCCAGTGGCTCGTGCAGCCGGTGACTCTCATTTGAAATCAATGCTCACCAACCATCCTAAAAATCCTAGGGCCCTTCAGCATAATGCTAAATGTACTCTGCTTGTGCTCTATAAATGTAATAACAAAGCCTGAATGACAGCACATCTGTTTACAACATGGTTTACTGAATACTATTGAGACCTACTGCTCAAAAAAAAGTTCCTTTCAAAATATTACTACTTATTTGACAATGTGAATGCATCTGGTCCACCCAGAACTCTAACAGAGATGGACAAGATGAGTGTTGTTTTCATGTCTGCTAACAAAGCATCAATTTTGCAGCCCACGGATCAGAGTCCTTTCGACTTCCAAGTCTTTTTAATTTAAGAAATACAATTCATAAGGTTGTATATAGTTGCTGTAGGGATTCCTCACAGATCCTGGCAAAGTACACTGAAAACCTTCTGGGAAGAATTCACCGTTTTAGATGCCATTGAAAACAATCATGATTAATGGGAAGGGGTCAAAGTATTCACATAACAGGAGTTTGGAAGAAGTTGATTATACCCTCTTGGATGATTTTGAAGGGTTTCAAGACCTAACTGGCGTGTAAAAATGTGACTAAACTGCTGTCATCTCTTCATAAAATTTCAACAGAGGAGTTGCTTCTTATGTATGAGCAAAGACCGTGGTTTTGTGAGATGGAATCTATCCCTGGTGAGGATGCCATGAAGACTTGAAATGACAATGGGCTTAGAATATTCCATAAATGTAATTGATGCACAGCAGCAGAGTCTAAAAAGAATTTAATTTTGAAAGAAGTTCTAATGTGGATAAAATGCTAACAGCACTGCCTGCTACAGAGAAATCTTTCATTGGAAGGAAGAGTTGAGGTGGCAAACTTCATTGTTGTAAAAAATTGCCCCAGCCATCCTGACCTTAAACCACTGCCACTCTGAGCAATCAACAGCCAGCAACATCAAAGCAAGACCCTCCACTAGCAAAAAGATTACAACTCGCTGAAAGCTTAGATGATAGCATTTTTAGTAATCACACATTAGGGCATGTGCATTGCGTTTTTTTAAACATAATGCTGTCACACTACATTGTTAATGTAAAATATAAAATGTAAATATATAAAAATAATGTAATTTTTTATAGACACCAGGAAATCAAAATAGCCATTTGACTCCCTGTACTGCAACATTCACCTTATTGCAGTGGTCTGGAACTGAATCGCCAGTATTTCTGAGGTAAGCCTGTATACTGAAATAGGTTACACTATTTTTATAAAAAGCTACTCCTTCCTTGAAAATGGTTTTTAGGAATCAGGTCAACCATGTTCTATGTGCAAGTCCATCATTTTGCACTTGATTCAACCTCTTCAAATCTTTTCAGCTTGAAAACTGCCCACTGAATTGCCCTCCTAAAACACTAAGAAGTGTCAAAGCTGGCAGCCCTTCAGAAATGGAATTTTTAAATATTCCTCAAAATGTTACTAGAACTAAACCCATCTACCACTCTTAAGAACATGCAGATCTTTAAAAATAAATACTACAAAAATAACAAAATATTATAAAGTATAATTCTGAGAAAGATCTGAAGCCACTAAATTGGTAGGTCAACTGGTATCTAACAACCAAAAACTAGTCCATATATTGCTGTTTGTATCTATCACACTTAATCCCCACCTCTTCCCATCTCTAACCCATTCGCACCAGATGGTATTAGGCTGTTTCTCTTCCTCTTGAAAACCTGTCTTTGGTGACTTTCAAGTTTTTCTTCCAAAATGAGGCCATTTTGGATGTAACGCCTTCTTAAGAAGGGTTATGTTTCATGACAAGAGCAATCATTCCTCAAATTTTGTGTACATTAGACCTAAAACTGTGTTCCCCTCCAAACTGACCTCATTTTGACTGTGGATTCTGAAAACAAACTCAAATTACTCTATAACTAACTTGTCATAAACCCTTAATTTTGCTGGACACTGACAGCAACAACTCCACATTTTGGAAAAGCAGTATTGGTAATACTTTAAGAAATCAGCATTTTAAAATTAAAAATCTCAGTCATGTGGGCAGACAACAATGCCAAGCGATAGAAATTTTAGAAGAAATCTAAAGGAAAGAGATAATGTCCTAAGGAGAAAAAAACGGTAAAAAATTAAAGGAGAAAATTGAAGACATGGAAAGAAAAGACCACTTAAGGATTATAAAAGTTATATTTATTCACGATGCTACATTTATTGCATTCCCTTAGAAAAATGGAGAACTGTTTATGTACCCAATTTGCACATATAAAACTTTATACAAATTATGTGTAGCACATAAAGGCCTCTGGTACAGCTAAAATCCTGACACTACGATTTGGGTAAATCCTGCTTCAGGGTCTCCAGTTTATCAAGTCTGTTCAGAGAAAATAAACACTGGTATTATACTCAATCTTGCCATTCACACTTAGAAATTACTTTAAAATATAAAATTTTCAATTACTCTAAAAACTCAAAAAAGGTAAAGTGGAAGGTGACACATTTTGTTGCCGATGTCAATTTAACAATATGACAAATCCATACCTTATTTTGGCTGGGTCTTTTTAAAAAAACAAATCACCTTAAGTTTTGACATTCTCTAAGGTTGTGACTGCTTCAAGAAGGTAGTAGGTCAAAACCATTTACCAAACAGTAAAAATAATATTCCTTTTATAAAATGGTACAATTAACACATTACGGAACCAGAAAATACTAAATGTCTTTGGCTATACAACTAAAAGGCCAGTCTTCCAAAAGAATAGGGCATATTCACACCTCAGAACCAACTATAGAAACAAAGAATAACAGAAATATGCATAGAATTTAATGATAATTTGTCTTGCCTTTTTTCCATTCTACCTATATGATAATCAAGGAGAATGCAATTTACATAATCTTCCCAGATGAGACTCCATATAGCACTACAAAGATACCCAAATTTCTGCAAAGGCAAAGTGAATTAAAACAATTACACAACTAAGTGAAGACCAAAGGGACAAATGTTTGTTATCTGCAATTTTTCTTAGTTGGTTGCTTGTTTTTTTTAAGCTTTGAGTGTACAAATCATAGCTGATAAACAAAAAGTCACAATCTTCACAAATGGAACTATAATAGAAAAATAAATCAAATGAAACATTTATTAATAAATGAAGCCTGTTTTATTACTTCAAGTGTTAATGATAAAAAAAAATTTCAGCACAGCTGTCGCATTTTAAAAAAGTGAAAACTACATACTATGTTTCTAGCTCAGTAAACAGATGAACCTGATGTCTTTGAATGACATAACAATTGAGCATTGTACAGTACATCTTATGAAGACCCGTAAATTAAAGAACTACTGGTTTAAAGTTAGTGATTATGAAACAAATATGTATTCATAGTTTCAGCTTCTTTTTTCTTCCTCGACCATCAGGTGCTCCATCCATTTTACGTTTCTGTGTCTACAAATGAACAGAAGGATTGCTTTTCAGCACAAGACAATAAAGGTAAAACACAGACTAATTTTACTTTACTAATAACTGCTACACAGTAATAGGTATTAACCTTTCTTATTAGAATCTTACCTACTCCCTTTACTAACACAAATTTTATTGCTAATGAAATGATTTACAGTAAGCAATAGTGATTCAATACATCAAGCCAGTATAAACATGCCTACCAAAAGAAAGCATCACTATTTTATGAGCTTACATAAATACCTCAAGGGCATTATTCAGAGGCATTCATTTATTCATGACCTTCTACATTAAATCTAAATAAAAACACGACTTTTTTTTCTCTTAAAATAAGTGTTCACACATTGCTAAGATACCATTGGGAAAATACGCCAAATCTTGGAAGTTTACGGTAAAGGTTAGAAAAGCCAGTTTCTTTAAATATTCTAAAATTATAACTTGTACTATTCAAGGTCAAGTGTAGGCATTCATAAGACATTCCCAGGTTTTCAGGACTGCCCAAATTATGGACCACCATCGTAACATGATATTCTCCCCAGAATGCATAAAAGCAACTTATTCAAAAAAAAAAAAAAAAAAAAAAAAAAAGGACTAACACCTCAATGATAGCTAAGTAATGTTCAAATTCTTAGAAAGAAAGGCCTTCCAACCAAGTATTTACATATTCATGAATACTTACGGAAGGTTTTGGTCCTCTCTTCTTTTTCTCTGCCTTCTCTTTTTCTTCTAGTTCCATGTTTTCTCTTTCAATCAAGGTAATTAAGGTGTTACACCTCCTCTGGAGCTCCTGAATTGTAAAAAAAAAAAAAAAAAAAAATTATGTGGTAAATGTGTATTTTCCATTGTTTTCATGACATCCAGGTTTTAAAGTTGTAATGTTTTGGGGTGCCTGCGTGGCTTGGTTGAGCATCTGACTCTTGATTTCAGCTTAGGTCATGATCCCAGGGTTGGGCTCTATGCTTAGCATGGAACCTACTTGAGATTCATTCTCCCTCCTAGCCTCTCTCCCACTCATGTGCTCTCTCTAAAAAGAAAACAATGAAACTGTAATATTTTAATAATATAAAATCATTTCTACACCCCCTTAAAAAGGTAAGGCAGACCTTACAGCAACTAAATCACTCTTTTATTTCTAATCCATTTATAGTGCAACATTTCCCAAACAAGGATACCCAAAACAGGAGCCGCTTTGAGTGAAAAATAATCCTGCAGCAGTCAAACATGAAAGAACTGCACACTATCCTCCATCTTGAAGGGTGACATACTTTAAATATATGGAGAGAACTCTTACTATGAAATATGTTTAAACTTTGCTTATTCCTGTATATCCCAAACCTAAAACTACATAACATTTCTAGTAATTTCATCCTAAATAACACAAGATGGAAGTTAGAAGTTCAAGACTGGTATAAAATGCACAATAAAAAGAGCAATCCATTGAAGCTCAACTTTCCTGAATTTTAACTTTAGGAACTTGCTGATCAAAAACAGCTTTTAAATTCTTTTTTCTTTTTTATTTATTTCTGAGAGAGAGAGAGACAGCGTGAGCAGGGAAGGGTCAGAGAGAGAGGGAGACACAGACTCTGAAATAGGCTCCAGGCTCTGAGCTGGCAGTCAGCACAGAGCCCGACGCAGGGCTCAAACCCACGAACAGCGAGATCATGACCCAAGCGAAAGTCGGACGCTCAACCGACTAAGCCACCCAGGCGCCCCCAAAAACAGCTTTTAAAATGACCCAGACTCAACATTCAAATGGGCAGATACCTAAGCACAAGTTCTTTCTTTATAGAAATGTGTTCATTTGCAAAACCAAAATTTTCTGAAAACTTCATCACATTCAGAAGCTGAAACTGAAGAACCTGATTAAAATCAGTATCAAAAACTAGCCCTTATCATACATGATGATGTTAAAAGATATGTGATACTAAAGGATGGAACCAGGAAATTTTTTAAGTTATCCATAATAATAGCCTTTTAATTGTAGACCAAGAACTTTTTTCTAAGGATCTGGTTTAACCTATAATACTTAATGTAACAAATGTACTCCAAGTATAGAAACAATTTTACTTAATATTCTCCAGGTAAGTAAGGTAACTTACCTTAATACTTACTCTGAAGTGTTTGCTACATTATATAAAAAGGCCCAAGCACTCACCATTGCAGTTCTAGACTTCAGAAACCAGTCAAATCTGAACTGAGGAGAGTTGCGAATACACTGTCGTAATTCATCGTAAACATTTTCTTTGTCGAATCCAAGCTTGTGAAGCATACAGATTAGAAAACGATCCTCTTCTTCAGTATAATTTTTTCCTTTGTTAGTACCATATGATATTCTCAGCTGATGAAAAGGTGCTTTGTACCGTCCAATCTATCAAAGTTAAATTTTACATAAAATAAAAATGCTGTATAATCTGGATTTCCAACTCAGCTTTAGTAAAATTAAAAGCGTTATGTTCCAAGTCAGTATTTTTCTCAACTGCATTATATGACCTTTGTTGTGAAACAACTTTATAATGTTTATTAAAAGAAACCTAGGCTGAGACTCTCTGATACTATGTAGGAAAGACCAGGATCCAGTACTAAGGTAAATTCTGTGAGACTACATGTGAATGTTGTTCTTTCAAGAAAATTTTCATTTTAAAGCATCCTTTCATTTCCTTTTAAAAAGT